CAACCAACAACGGAAAATTGAAATTGAAAATAGTATAAAAATACATTAAAAACTCAACAAAATGTGTTTAATATTGTACGCTGGAAATTAAAAAACACCACTGCAAAGACAAATGAAAGAAGACAAAATTAATGAAATTAATGAGTCACCATGGTCATGGAGAGGGAGACGGAGATCAGTTCTCCCTAACTGATGTGAAATTTCAATACAATCCCAACAGAAGTGCCATCAAGCTTTGTTGTAGACATTGGCAAGCTGACTTTAACATGCGCATGTAAAGGACCTGGAAGAGCTGGAACAGTTTTGAAAGAAAGAACCAAGTTGGAAGACTTGACAGTAATTGATTTAAACACAGTAACCGAGTCAGTGTTGTATGGGCATGAAAATCACCATCCAAACTGGTAGGACGGAATAAAGTCCAGAAATAGAGCCTGACTAAATACGACTTTGGGCACAATAAACGGAACCCTCTCTAAAATGGAGCTGGGAGGCCAAAAGGAGGAGCCTAGAAGGGGGAGCCATATCACCTAATATCAACGATGGGAAGAATGGTCAGTTACAGACTCCAAGAGAATAGTCAACGGGAAAGAATCGCCAATTATAGGTCCCAACAGGGGAACACGTACACCGCAACTCCTACAACGAATCAACTACCCCAGTGACTCGGCCAATGAGAAACGGTCATCACCCTAAGGGATTTTCTTTCCGAACAAGCCTTCCCAACCCTCTCCTTCTTCCCTGTTAAAATAATGTCCCTCTCCTTTGTTGGACTTGCCCCTGGTTTTGCTGTGGCTTGCGGGTTCCAGATTGCGATTCTCTGCTGTTCTTGAATAAACTCATTTTTGTTGGTGAAATAACAGACGGTTTTATTTTTAAGGTAAGCCGAACAAATGAGGCCTAACTGGGGAGGTTTAAAACAAAGACAAGATGCGACAAAAAATATCGCGTGTGATAGAACATGGTGTGCGAGAATCGTGAGGTGAATTTGCATTCTAAGGTCCTTGCTTCACTTGGGAGGAGGAGAAGGATACTGCTTAACTTTTGGGTTTTAGAAGTTAAATATTCCTGGTGAAATATTAGGGGGACTCTTAAAAATAAACCCAAGCCATGGCTGTAGAGGTGAGAGGGATATAAGCTGGAACCCCGCCTCCGCCATGCAGAAGTTTTGTGACTTAGTGTCCACGCGTGTCATGATGCCTATTGCATCGTGGAAGGGGCTCAGTGAGACCAACCAGTGGGGAGGGTTCAGCCCAGAACCTGGCTCACGCTCAGTGCCCAGGAAATAAATGATGGTCCTCCAGCCAGTTTCCTGGTTTTAGCTGCAGATCTCTCTACACCGGCCCAAAGCTGCTTTCTGAGTTACCAGGGTGCTCAGGATTCTTTGGTAGATGAAATCAGAGCACTGGTTCTCCCAGCCTTGTGGAGGTTACTGCCGCAGGGTGTGTGTGTGTGTGTGTGTGTGACATGCGCTCGCTTTCCTGTTCCTCCGGCAGGTCTGTCGCATCTGGCAGGCACCAAACTGCACCCGTTCCCCATGAAGTAGTAGCATCGCTACATTCCATTCCCAGCGCCTAAATGTCTCCTCCACGTAGTAGTGGCTTGATAAATACCGCGGGCTGTGCTTCTCCGTAAATCAATCCTCTCTCAGGATTTTAAAGGATTTGAAAATAAGAAGAAAACAAAAGTGAGGTGCACCAAGCAGTTGGTTTCTATTTAAATAGGTTTTAAAAAGGAAAATCTGACTAGTCTTTAAATAGAGGAGGTGCAAGGTGCCTTGAGTTGCTTAGTCACCTCACACCGTTCTATGTATACAGCACATGGCACAGGGATCCGTGGGTCCCTAAACAGTTCCTTTAGGATGCAGAAAAGTCGCAGGGATTCTGAGTTTATTCAGTGAAGAGCCTGAGTGATGCAAAAGATTGTTTAAAAATCAACATATAATGAAACCTTGTTTTCTTTAAGTTTTGTTGGGAAATAATTTCATGTTTACAAAAAGTTGCAGAAACAAAACTAATGTAAACAACTTTATAGGTAGCTTCACCTTTAGCTAATATTTTATCCCATTTGCTTTATCATTATTTGCTTGTGCTTTGTCTCTATTTGCAAATGCACACACACACACACACACACACACACACAAACACAAACTTACACATTTATTTTTCTGAACCATTTAATGGCAAGTTACAGACATGACTCATTTGCTGTAAATATTAAAATGCGTATTTTCTAAGAAGAGGTTTTTTTTTCTTATATAACCACAGTACAATTATCAACTAAGTAAGTGTGCATTTACTTTTATCTGATTTACCATCCGTATTTCAGCAGTTTTGGTTGACTTAATGCCCTTTATAATAGCTTTTTCCCTTTAGTACCAGATCTTGATTAGAGTCAGAAATTGAATTTCATGGTCACGTCAATTTGTAATAAAAAACACACAACAACAACAACAATAACAACTATGGCGAGAACTGGATGACTACTTTTTTTTTTTTTTTTTTTTTTTAATTTGAACGTTGAATCCATGATCCTCAGAGATCTGGGGCAGAGAGTTGTGTCTAAAATTTGCTGTCTTGGCATAAGAAAGGATTAGAATACCAGGAAACAAGTTTGTAGGTGATGGAGAAACGCTGAGGAGAGTTGTTCCCTCTGGTGGTCAGAACAGTCGTTTCTAAAGGGCTTGATGGGCTTTAAAATATAGGGTCCTAGACACTATCCTCCGAAACGCAAGAGTTAATAGATTTGGTCTCGAGCCCAGGAAACTGTGGGGCTTTTCTGTTTGTTTTGTTTTTGTTTTGTAGTTGTTTTTTGGGGTTCCTAGGTGATTATGACCTGCCAGCAGGCTCTAGAACACAACCACAGAGGGAAGCCTGACTCTCGCTGTGGGGCATGAGGATTGCAACCGACAGCCGATCACTGGCTCTGAACAAATTCACTTCCACTCTTTTTTTTTTTTTTAATAATTTATTGTCAAGTTAGTTAACATACAGTGTATGCAGTGGAGTCTTGGCTTTGGGAGTAGATTCCCATGATTCCTCACTTCTGTACAACACCCAGTGCTCATCCCGAGTGCCCTCCTCGATGCCCATCACCCATTTTCCCCGCCACCCCCAATACCTACCCCGATCAACTCTCGGTTTGTTCTCTGTATTTAAGAGTCTCTTATGGTTTGCCTCCCTCCCTCTCTGTTTGTCACTGTTTTTTTTTTTTCCCCCTTCCCTTCCCCCATGGTCTTCTGTTAAGTTTCTCAAATTCCACATATGAGTGAAAACATGGTATTTGTCTTTCTCTAATTTCACTTAGCATAATACCCTCCAGTTCCATTCATGTTGTTGCAAATGGCAAGATTTCATTCTTTTTCATCGCTGAGTAGTATTCCATTGTGTATATAAAGTCTGCTAATGGGGCCAGCTCTGTACCCACACAGACATACTGCGGGTGGGTTTGTAGCGTGGCCTTTGAGCGAGCAATGCCAGCGTGCTAGCTGCTCAAGGTGGTTCTGAGGATCAGAGAAAATAGAAGATGCAAAACGCCCGACATAGAATAGATACTCAATACGTGCTGGGTGAATTGGATTTTTAATACGGGGCATTTAAAAGAGAAATACTGTGCTCACGGCATCTTGGATGGTGACACATGGCCTCAGAGTTCATCATCTCCTTGACATCAATCACATGACTGATGTCTTAGCCCTCAATGAACATCTTAGCCCTCAATGAAACTGCATACAGAAGGAAGGGCTCGGAAACAAAATAAGTTGAGTTAGGAGAAGAAATCAGAGTAAACTCATGACTATCTGATTCTAAAACTTACATGGAAATGCAAAGAGCGGCCAAAATAATTTTGTGAAGGAACACAAATTTGGAGACTTACAGTACCTGAATTAAAGACTTAACTGTAGAGTGACCAAGTCAGGGTGGGAGTGGCATAAGCGTAAACATAAAAATCAATGGGATTAGAAATCTCTCTTCTTAGCAAAAGCCCAGAAATAGACCCCAAATATAGAACAGTTGTCTTGTCAAAGTGCCAAGGCACTTCAGTGGAGAAAGGATAGACTTTCCAACAAATGTTACCAGAGCAACTGAATATCCATATGCAAATAAATAAACTTCCATTTCTACCTTGTACTATGAAAAAGGATGAACCCACACTGGATCATATAACTAAATAAGAAAACCTAAAACCAACAAATTTCTAAATGAATATTTAAAATCTGGGTTTTCTCTGACAGTGGACACTGTGGGTTCCTCATTTGTATTCCTTGCTGCTTCTCACAGTAGTTCAAAGGGAGCTAGACCCAGAGCCTAAGTACCTGAATTGGTTCCTAGCTTTCCCCCTGGAGCCTTAGAAGGTGGTTAATGAGTAGAAAAAGAAGGACCCTTAACATCCAGAATCTTGGCATGAGAAGGAGACATGGCTGAGAAGCACATTGATACGTATGGTCTCGATGTGGTCTTGGCCCCACATAGTGTCGTAATCAGTATTTTTTTCCATCCTTGAATGCAGAATATTGCAAAGGAAATTTATTAATGTCATCATTAAATATTGAGGTCAATTCATGATTCTAAAATTCTGTGCTAATTTAATGTAATCTAATTTGCCAAAAATTAATTTTTCCCATTTCTACAAATACTGTTTTATCTTTTCCTTTATGGTGTATTTGAGCTTTAACATTTAACATTAAGCTTTTCTTGAACTTGTGGTTCTATCTTTCACGTAGATATTTTATCTTATTGTAACTGTAAGAGGAAATCTGATTATTTTTCCCATTGATATGGAGAACAATGAACACATTTATAGACATTGGATTAAATGATGTTTATTTTTCTGTCTGAGTGGATTAAAATAAGTAATATCTCAATGGCCATTGGCATTTTCATGCATATAGAATCCCATTTTGACATTATTTGTTGACCCTACAATCATGATTAATGTCATTTATCACCAGATATTTTAATTCATATATATATATTTTTTTCTTTTTTTTTTTCCCCCAGAGAAACAGTGGGCACAAGCCCCTCCAAGAGGGGATCTATTAAGCCGAAGAGCCTTCTATCCTTGGGTGGGTTTGCCCAGAGGAGCCCCAGTCAGTTGGTATCTGTTGAGTCGAGGGATGGAGACTAATCTCAAGGGAGTGAATCCGGCTTTGGTAAGCTCAAGATATCTTTAGAGAGCAACTTCCCTGTGTGTGTACCACTCTGGACAATGGGTACACCATCTTTAAGTAGCTTATAGTTCAGTGAGATGAGAATGTACCCATTTTGCTAAGTGCTGGAGGAGAGCGGAGAGGGGCCTTCCCTCACACTTCTCCCATTTCCTGATGTGCCCATGTGTGTAAAGAGAGTCTTAGCAGTGTAAAGCATCTGTCCCAGATCCCTCACTCACTTCTTCCAGGAGAGGTGGTGATTTAGCCAATGGTGAATTTGAGAGGAGAAACCTAGCCAGTGGATCTCAGATCCTTCCTCCCCATTTAAGCTACCTGCAGGAAAGTCTGTTGGGTGCCCATCAGCGCCACGGATGGTGAGTGAGTTTACCAAGATTTGGGGTTTGGTATTGCGAAACTGACTTGCTTTGCCCTCCAACAGCAGCTGTATTAGTGATAAAAATGTCACTTGGCCTTATTCTCAGTGGGTTCAGGATCAAGTAGGGAACAAGAGGCATCATTCATCAGAGTCCTCAAAGATAATTTACAGTAAGAACAGATAGAATGGTTGTACAGAGATGAGGCCCCTAACCTAGCCTGGGGGTCTGGGGAAGACTTTGAGAAGGAAGTGGCCTGGCAAACTGAATGTTGAATAATTAGTTCATTGGCCAACAAGAAAGGAGAGTGTGTGAAGACCGTGGTCTGAGATGGCGTTATTGGGTAGAAGCCTGGGTCAAGAAGCAGCATTGTTTGTGTGACAAGCAAACAACGCAAGATCTCTAGAGAGTGGGGTGGGACAGGGAGACGTGTGACTGAGGCCACATGACGTGGAGTGGGACTTGTTTTCCAATGCAACTGTTGCCACCATTTGAGACTCACGGTCTCCCAAATCCCAATGGCTTAAATAACTGGATAGATATGTGTTGACAGTAAGTTGTGTGAAACAGGCTTGAGGACTGTCACAAACATTCCCACTCTCAGTCAACAGGCCATGTGGCTGTAACTATAGGGCTGTCTGAGTTACATTAGTGCTGAGAGGCTGCACAATGAGAAAGGTGAGGTAGCCAGCCCATGTGATATTGGCATGGTCATATCGAGAAACAATGGAAAAGCAGAGAACATCTAGTGATGTGTGAGCAGCACCTAAAAGTAGGTCATGTGAAAAGACATCAAGGAAACGGGTAAGTTGGCCCCATCCTGTGTTGTCAAGTGATAGATTTTTGTCTCCTTATCAAGCAGGAACTTCCTATTAGAATTGTAGAGAATAAAAGGTTGTTGAGAGGTAGAAATTCTAAAATTAGCTATTATGCAATGAGTCCTACTTTGCAGAAGGCACTGGGCTAAGTGCTTTAAATGCTTCATCTCATTTAAAGCTTAGAACAGCCCTATTGTGACGATATGATTGTCACCTTCCTTTCAGGGACGAAGAAGTGGCACTGAGTGCAGTTAAGTGACTTCCCAAAGCTAATGGGATTTGAACTCAGCTTTAACAATGGCTTGGTTGAAGCCAAGAAAATAAGGGCTGGCCACATCTCAAAGATGTTCTGAAGTCAAAACAAGCCTCTGATTTTATCAGATGAGCAACTTTCCAATATTATAATGCAGTAGAACCCTATTTATTTATTTATTTGTTTGTTTGTTTGTTTGTTTGTTTTTACCCCTGATAACACCACTTTATTTTTTATTTTTTTCAATATACGAAATTTATTGTAAAATTGGTTTCCATACAACACCCAGTGCTCATCCCAAAAAATGCCCTTCTCACTACCCATCACCTACCCTCCCCACCCTTCCACCCCCATCAACCCTTAGTTTGTTCTCAGTTTTTAAGAGTCTCTTACACTTTGGCTCTCTCCCACTCTAACCTCTTTTTTTTTTTCCCTTCCCCTCCCCCATGGGTTTCTGTTAAGTTTCTCAGGATCCACATAAGAGTGAAAACATATGGTATCTGTCTTTCTCTGTATGGCTTATTTCGCTTGGCATCACACTCTCCAGTTCCATCCATGTTCTACAAAGGGCCATATTTTGTTCTTTCTCATTGCCACGTAGTACTCCACTGTGTATATAAACCACAATTTCTTGATCCATTCATCAGTTGATGGACATTTAGGTTCTTTCCATAATTTGGCTATTGTTGAGAGTGCTGCTATAAACATTGGGGTACAAGTGCCCCTATGCATCAGCACTCCTGGATCCCTTGGGTCAATTCCTAGCAGTGCTATTGCTGGGTCATAGGGTAGGTCTATTTTTAATTTTCTGAGGAACCTCCACACTGTTTTCCAGAGTGGCTGCACCAGTTTGCATTCCCACCAACAGTGCAAGAGGGTTCCCGTTTCTCCACATCCTCTCCAGCATCTATAATCTCCTGATTTGTTCATTTTAGCCACTCTGACTGGCGTGAGGTGATATCTGAGTGTGGTTTTGATTTGTATTTCCTTGATGAGGAGCGACGTTGAGCATCTTTTCATGTGCCTGTTGGCCATCTGGATGTCTTCTTTAGAGAAGTGTCTATTCATGCTTTCTGCCCATTTCTTCACTGGGTTATTTGTTTTTTGGTAGAACCCTATTTAAAATGAGTGGAGGGGTACTTGGGTGGCTCAGTTCATTGAGTGTCAGACTCTAGATTTTGGCTCAGGTCATGATCCCAGGGTTCTGGGATCGAGCCTGGTTGGTGTAGGACTCACACTGAGTATGGAGTCTGCTTGAGATTCTCTCTCTCTCTCTCTCTCTCTCTCTCTCTCTCTCTCTCTCTTTCTCTCTCTCTCTCTCTCTCCCCCCCTCCTCTCTAAAATAAAAGTTAAAAAATAATGAAATGAGTGGAATCCCAGTATTTATCATAGACAAAAGTGGATTTGCTCTGTATTAAAGTAGAGATGTATTGGTACACCTTCTTCTCTGGACCACCCAAGCTGGTTGATTATCCTGCAACTTCAAAATTTCTTGGGACTCCATAGGCAGATTGAAAAGCTTTTGGATGAGATGATTTTGAAAGATCCTGTGGTCAGGGGATGACAAGTAGTGTGGTGGGGCTCAGGCATAAGAAACCTGGAAAGCATGTGCCTTGGTCAGACCCAACAGCTCATGCTGGGGAAGGCTGCTGTGTTAAATCAAACTTTTGGTTTTTAGGTAATTGTGAATTAATTTGCAATTGTAAGAAAGACTATAGAGAGACCCTATGTATCTTTTGCCCAATTCTTCCCAGGGGCAACATCTTGCAAATTTACAGTTCAAAATCAAAACCAGGAGATTGACATTGATCAAGAACATTTCTCTCACGAAAGAATCTCCTTTAATCTTTAATCTCCTTTAATACCCATACCCATTTCTATCCACTCCCTCCTTAATTCCTGGCAGTCATGAATTTGCCCTCCATTCCTATTATTTTGCATTTCAAGAATGTTGTATAAATAGAATCATATAGTATGTAATCTGTCAAACTTGGCTTTTTCCACTCAGCACAATTTTCTGTACATCCAGTCAATCCCCAAACACCAAGTCAACTCTGGACTTTATACTCATTTCCTTGTTACTTCTCACCCCAAACAAAGTTGACTCTGTGGCCCCAGCTAATCAAATTTTTCTATTTTCCTCTTTCTTGTTCTTTAATCTTTATCCCATAAAAGCTTTCTGCCTTCACCCCATTTACAGTTCTCCAAAAGGAGACTGTTCACTTTTGTGAAGCGTTACAGTTTTTTGTGTCACCTAAATTGTGTTCTTTGATAAATTTTAAAAAATATTTTATTTTATTTTATTTTTTGAGATAGAGAGAGAACACATGAGTGGGGGAGAGGGGCAGAAGGAGGGAGAGAGAGAGAAAGAGAAGGAGAGGGAGAATCTTAGTTCACTTCGTGAAGTGTTACAGTTTTTTGTGTCACCTAAATTGTTTTCTTTGATAAATTAAAAAAAATGTTAATTTAATTTAATTTAATTTAATTTAATTTTACTTTTTGAGATAGAGAGAGAAAACATGAGTGGGGGAGAGGGGCAGAAGGAGGGAGAGAGAGAGAGAAAGAGAAGGAGAGGGAGAATCTTAGTTCACTTCGTGAAGTGTTACAGTTTTTTTGTGTCACCTAAATTGTTTTCTTTGATAAATTTTAAAAAATTATTTTATTTTATTTTATTTTACTTTTTGAGATAGAGAACACATGAGTGGGGGAGAGGGGCAGAAGGAGGGAGAGAGAGAGAGAGAAAGAGAGAGAGAGGAAGAGAGGGAATCTTAAGCAGGTTCCATGCTCAGCATGGAGCTCCATGTGGGGCTCGATCCCATGACTCTGGGCTCGTGATGTGAGCCAAAATCGAGAGTTGGATGCTCAACTGACTGAGCCACTGGGAGCCCCATCTTCTCTGATAATTTTTCAAAGAATCAGTTGATACAAAACAGTTTTTAATTTTAGTGAAGTCCAATTTATCTATTTTGTCATTTATTGCTTGCACTTTTGGTATTCTATCTAAAAAACCATTGCCAAATCCAAGGTTGTGAAGAGTTACCTTGAGGCTTTCTCCTAAGACTGTCATGATTTTAACTCTTATATTTAGATCTTTGGTCCATTTTGAGTTAATTTTTATATATGATGTGACATAGGTCCCATTTTATTCTTTGGTATGTGGATATCCAGTTGTCTCATCACTATTTGTGGAAAAGACTATTCTTTTCCCATTGAATAGTCTTTGCACTCTTGTTTAAAACCAGTTGATCATAGATGTATGTTTTTATTTTTGGACTCTCAATTCTATCCCACGGATCTATATGTTTATTCATATGTCAATTCCACACTGTTTTGATTTTTATTGGTATGTAATAAGTTTTGAAAACGGGAAGTGTGAGAAGTCCAGTGTTGTTCTTTTCTCAAGATTCTTTTGATTATTTGGGTTCCTCATAATCTTGTATGAATTTTAGGATCAGCTTTTCCATTTTTACAAAAAAAATGTCATTGGGGTTTTAATAGAGATTGTATTGAATCTGCAGATCTATTTTGGGGAGTATTGCCATTTTAACAATATTTATTCTTTCAACTCATGAACATGAGCTGTCTTTCCATTTATTTAGATTTTCTTCAATTTCTTTCAGTAGTTTTTCAGTGTATAAGGTTTGCATTTTTTTTGGTTAAATTTATTCCTAGGTATTTTCTTCTTTTTGATGATACTGTAAATAAAATTACTTTCTTAATTTTCTTTTTGGATTGTTCACTGCACATATGTAGAAAGACAACTTATATTCATGTGTTGATCTTGTAGTCCATAACTTCTTCTTCCTTTTAATGTGTAGGTTTACAGCTATAATTTTTGCCTGTGAGCACTTCTTTTTCTGCATCCCATGGTGTTTATGTGGTGTTTTCATTTTCAATCATCTCTAACTATGTTCTTATTTCCTTTGTGATTTCGTCTTTGAGCTATTGATTATTTAGGAGTGTGTTGTTAAATATCTACATATTGTGAAATTTCCAGTTTTCCTATAGTTATTGATTTCTAGGCTTATTCCATTGTGGTTGGAGAACATACTTTGTATGACTGCAATCTTTAAAAACTTATTGAGATTTGTTTTGTGGGTTAGTATGTGGTTTATCCTGGAGAACATTCCATGTGCACTGGAAAAGAATGTTTATCCTGCTGATGGGCTGTTTTAAAACTGTTACATATTATTGATTTATAGTGTTTAAGTATTCAATAGCCTTATTGACCTTCTATTTAGATGTTCTATACATTTATTGACGTGGGGTATTAAAGTCTTCTACAGTTATTTTAGAGTTATCTATTTCTCCTATCAATTCTGTCAGTGTTTCCTTCATGTATTTTGGGGCCATGCCGATTGAGGTGTATATATTTAACATTATCAATGTATAATGTTCTTTGTCACTTTTCCCCACAGTTTTTGATTAAAATTCTATTTTGTCTGATATTACGTACAGCTACCTCAGCTGCCTTTTGGTTTCTGTTTACATGGTAAAAAATAGTACTATTTGCATGGGAAAAAGTTCCCCATCTTTTGACTTTTAACCTGTTTGTGTCTTTGGATCTAAAGTAAATCTCTATTAGATGGCATAAATATGGATTATGATTTTTTATCCATCCTGCCAATATCTTTCTTCTAACTGCAGAGTTTAAATCATTTACATTTAAAGGAGTTATTGATAAGGAAGGACTTAATTCTGACATTGTGTGGTTTGTTTTCTTTTTCTTTTTTAAGTTTATTTATTTTGAGAGAGAGCTAGAGAGAGAGAGAGAGTGTGGGTGAGGGGCAGAGAGAGAGAGAGAGAGAGAGAATCCCAAGCAGGCTCCATGCTGTCAGCACAGAGCCTGATGTGGGGCTCGATCCCACGAACAGTGAGATCATGACCTGAGCTGAAATCAAGAGTAGGACGCTTAACTGACTGAACCGCCCAGGCGCCCCTGTGGTTTGTTTTCTGTATGTCTTAGATCTTTTTTTTTTAATTTTTTTTAATGTTTATTTATTTTTTTGAAACAGAGAGAGACAGAGCATGAACAGGGGAGGGGCAGAGAGAGAGGGAGACACAGAATCTGAAACAGGCTCCAGGCTCTGAGCGGTCAGCACAGAGCCCGACACGGGGCTCGAACTCACGGACCGTGAGATCATGACCTGAGCCGAAGTCGGACGCTTAACCGACCGAGCCACCCAGGTGCCCCTGTATGTCTTATATCTTTTATGTTCTTCAATTTCTCCATATGGCCTTTTGTGTTGAATTAATTTTTTAATGCCATACCCTTTTGATTCCCTCCTCGTTTCCTTGATTGTATATCTTAAGTTTGTTTTCAGTAGTTGCTCTGGGGATTACAAGTAATATATTCAATTTATAGCAATCTCGTTTGCATTGATACCAACTTATCTTTAATAGTAAAAAAAAGAATCTTCCCCTCTACGGCTTCATCCGCCTCACCTTTAGATTATCGCCAATTATATCTTTATATATTATGTGCTAGTTAATATGTAATTTCTAATTATTCTTTTACGAAATTTTTTAACTCCTATAGGGAACAAGAAGAGAAACAAAGAGCCTCACATTTTGAAAATAACACATAACGGGGTCCTACACTCAAGAGTTCAAGGTGTAGTCTTGGCCGACGTTGAGGTTGTTCTCTGCATCGCACTGGTCTGAACGCATCTCCAGAGAGAACAAACGGACAGGCTTCATGAACGGGGGTGCAGGATGCCTCACTCAACACCGTCCAGCGGAGAGTGGCTCCACCAGCTGACCAGACACCAGCCCATCTTTTCAGTCTGCCGACGGAAATACCGCACATTCCAATCTCAGGGAGCGCTCGCTGCTAGGTTTTCCTCCCTCCCTCCCGGTTCCATGCCAGGATGATAAATTCTGCGCGGGTCATGGAAAAATTATTGAGCTATACTACAATGTGAAGAAGAAAGCGTGCTGGTTCAGTATCTTGGATGTCTGAGTCCTGGATACTCAGCTTTCTAAATTGGTGACTTGCCATTTTGCTGACACGCTACTCTCTGTTAAGCCAAGCATCCAAAGACTGGTTGGCTTTCAGTATTTTGGTAAAATCATCGTCTGAAAAGTTGAGGAGTGGATCTTGGAACATTGGTACCCAAGAGAGGTGCACCTACGAGGGCCCCATCTGCCTTGATAAGCATCACGTGAAGCTGAGACGTGTGATGAATCTTCACATTATAGCCGTAGCCCTTATTTCCAAGCATATTAAAATTCACTTGACATTCCAAGTGCAAACTAACCCAAGCCTTGGGCTCTGAGAGACATGTCAGGCATATCCAAGCCTCAGAGGTATCCTTAATAGGCATATGATTAATGTCTGGTGAAGATTTACTCAAGTTAAGTTTTATTTTGAGGTGAAAACATGACACTGAGATGGAAATAAATCAAATGATTAAGAACAGAGCTGCTGTTATCACCACATAATCTGGCAATAAATCAGTGGAACAGAATATTTATTTGCAAAAATGTGAGTCAGATTTTTGAGGTGTTATATATTAATTCAATTCGCATTCCCTAACAGTTATTAAAAACTACTATGGGCAAGACTGGCCTAAGCAGTTGTTGTGCATAGGGATGTGTGTGTGTGTGTGTGTGTGTGTGTGTGTGTGTGTGTTAGGGGGTGAATAAAAGAATGTGTGAGAGATGCTACTTTCTGTCTTCAAAGAGCTTATGATATAGAAAGAGAGAGGAGCCATGCTTTAATCTAAGGCAAATGTGACTATAAAATACTATAAAGAATACTATAAAAAAAATTGGAACTGCTTCATGTGGGGGCCAGGAATGATATACTGCGTTGGTTTGAAGAAGCTGGGAAAAGCATTACAGAGAGAATGATGAGAATTGAAGTCTGTAGGCTTTTTCTAAGACCTCAGCTCATTGTCATCCGATTTCCTACTGCACTCCTCCAAACGTAACCGCTCGCAATGACTTTACCAACGACACCCTTGTTGCTAAACAAAATTCACACCACTTGTGGTTCTTACCTTCCCTGCTTTCTTTGAAGATGATCCATTTTTAGCTTTTAAAAAAATGATTTTATTTTATTTTTTTAAGTTTATTTACTTATTTTGAGAGAGAGAGAGAAAGAGAGAGTGAGCAAGGAAGGGGTAGAGAGAGAGGGAGAGAGAGAATCCCAAGCAGGTTCTATGCCGTCAGCACAGAGCCCGGAATGGGGCTCAATCCCATGAACCGTGAGATCATGACCCGAGCCAAAGTCAAGAGTCCGATGCTTAATTGACTGAGCCAGCCAGGTGCCCCCATTTTCAGTCTTAACTCTCATCCCAGCAGGATGAGACCGTGCCCCCCTGCTCAGGAGAGAGGGAGCCACCGTGCTGGGGTGCATAAGCCAGCATCGTCACCTTGTACAACCACTCTTGGGATCATCTGGCTAAGATGCAGCTGTTAAAAATGGCACCTCCACAAAATGCATCACTTAGAGATGGGCATTCCAGAGAAGAGTAGGCCTGACTTACTGGGCTGGGGCCCCGTGGAGCCCACAGAGGAGACTCCAGACAGGGCCGGCACAGCAACAGAGGGGAGGCCATCATCCGTGCGTGGTGACGAGGAAGCAAACTGTGGTCTCAGCCTCCATTGGCAGCTGTACACAGCTCCCTTCACGTGGGCCACACCGCGGGAACCATTGATTGTTCTTTCTCACTGCCCCTCTCCCCCGTCATAGGAACAATCTGAAATGGTGGTGGTGGCCAAGCTCTTCTCATCAGAGTTCCGTAAACTCACGTGGGGGTTTCTGGCGTTCCCTGCCTTACATACATTTCCATTAAGAGTGCAGGTGACATCAGAAACAGTACCTTGGTCAACACTGGGATGCTCTGAACGCGGATATATCGCAAAGCGAGGCAGAAAAATCAGCTGATTTGGAAACCAGTCAGCTTGTAGTGGAGACTGACACTCAGATATCAGTGCTGTGGATGGAATAAAGGTCTGAAAAGAGGGAACATTTGCAATACTGTTGTATGAAATTCATTGACTCATTCATGAACACAGTTATTGAATGCCCGCTAACACGTCAGACTCTGAGAGACGATCGAATCACAATCTGAAGAGGGAACTCTGTTGTTACGGTTCTGTCTTGTTTAACCGTGCTGAGGGAAGCCCAGCACAAGGTACATCTCTGAATTGGGAGGTAGGATACGTTGGGTGTGCTGTGGGAGAGGGTATGAGTTGTCTTGCCGCTACCATGCATTAGACAGTCCTTCTTGGACTGAAGGGTTCTTGCTGTGTCCTTAGAAGTACCCTGGGCAAATCATTTGACATTCCCAGGACTCACCTTTCTCCAACGAGAATCTTTGGTTTAGATTTGCGTTGCTAACGGTTGAGCTCTGTGAGGACAGAACGGGGAGCAGGGTGAAGGTCTGCACCATTTTGGCCATTTGGCACAAATGCAGGGTGCAGATTCTGCATTTTTAAAAGAACTTGATTCTGGGGGCGCCTGGGTGGCTCAGTTGGTTAAGCATCTAACTCTTGATTTTGGCTCATGGTGCATGAGTTCGAGCCCCACATCAGGGTCTGGACTGATGGTGGAGCCTGCTTGGGATTCTCTCTCTCCTTCTCTCTCTCTGCCCCTCCCCCCTCTCTTAGAATAAATAAATAAACTTTAAAAAATAATAATAATAGAAGGACTTGACTCTGTTCTGTTTTGAGACCTTCTACTGATGGCAGAAAGTTGAATTCGGGTCGAACCAGTTGCTTGACGCTTTTCTGGGTCAGTTCAGGGTTTCCTCTCCTCCTGGAGCTGCTGTCACTTAGACGTCTCTTCCTATCTGTGCTGCCATTTCCTGAAACGAGCCTGCAGCCTTCCAGTCTCTGCCCAGCACCTCACACAGTCACTCTGTGTCCCCTTTGTCCTGATAAGAGGGCCACCTTGGCAGCCACCCTCGCTAAGTCACTGTGATGGAGTCTCATTTTTGGTGTTCATTTTTTTCTTTGTTGCTTGGCACACAGCACGCGTCGAGAAGTATTTGTTGGATAAATGAACCTTCCCTCTAGGGCGTCAGAGAAGGGTTCGTGAGAAGCTTGGGTGATTTCCTGTCACTCTGGGACCTTGGCCGTGAGGATAGGGACCTCTCTGGCCTCCGCTGTTCCGTTGCTCTGATTCTTCATTCTCACCTCGCGGGAGCTTCAGTAAGTCTGTGCCACCTACGTCTGTTCCTGTGCCCCATCTTTTTAAGGCAATTCACCCCATGTGGTGAAGATGTAGAATTTGCGGATCTGAATCAGGGATCCTCAGTGTTGTGTGGTTTCATAGACCCCGTTAAGAGTATCATGAATTTCCGAGCACCTGCGTGGCTCAGTCGGTGAAGCGACCGACTTCGGCTTGGTTCATGATCTCACAGTTCATGGGTTCGAGCCCCGCGTCGGGCTCGGTGCCGACAGCTCAGAGCCTGGAGCCTGCTTCCGATCCTGCGCCTCCCTCTCTCTGCGCCTCCCCTGCTTGTGCTCTGTGTCTCTCTGATTCTCAAAAAATAAAGGTTAATAAAAAATTTTTTTAAAAATAGAATGTACTAAAAACTGCAATACATTAGAATCACTGAGCAGAAAGTAACAGGAAAGACTTCTAGATGCCTTCATTTCTTTTTTTTTTAAATTTATTTTGAGAGAGAGAGAGAGAGAGAGAGAGCACACGCAAGCAGGGGAGGGGCAGAGAGAGAGGGGAACAGAATCCCAAGCAGGCTCCACGCGGTCAGCACAGAGCCTGATGTGGGGCTCGAACTCACAAACCGTGAGATCGTGATCTGAGCTGAAGTCAAGAGTCAGATGCTTAACTGACGGAGCCACCCAGGCGCCCCTAGATGCCTTCATTTCAGTGGTAAAGAAACCGAGACCCAAAGCGAATAGAAGACTTTCCGGGGACGTCAGTGAGGTGCAGGTGAAGGACGCTGTGCTCCAGCTCCTGTTCTGAGTCCCATGTGCCAAAGGTGCCATTTGGGCGGCACAGCACTGTCCGGGCTGGAAGGGCATGGTCTCCCTCCAGACAGCCGGCGCTTACCTGTCGCAAACTAGGTCGCTCAGACTCACCTGCTTAAGTCACTGGTTTTAGGACCAGAAGTATTCCTTTTCCTCCCTCCCTCCCCTCCTCCCTTCTTTCTGTCTTTCTCTTTTCCTGTTTTCTTTCTGTTTCCTCTCCCCTCCTCCCTCCCTCCCCCTCCCTTCCTTCCCTTTCTTTTTCTTGCTTGCTTTTTTGTTTTCTTGACTCCTTTCGGTTTCTCTCCCTTTCGTTGCCTCTTTCTCTCTCGCTTTCCTGTTTTCCTTTTTCTTTCTTTCCTTCGTTCAGTTAGTTCTCCATAAGCGGAATGTAATTCCGGGTTTGGGGCCATTTCCCACCGTTGTCGGTGAGACCGTCCAAGAGCAGTCCCTGAGACCGGATTTGGGGTGAAAGACAGTTGTCACGGAGCCGAGCTCTGAAAGGAAGGGGGGAAGGCCGCCTGGGCGGTGACGGAAGGTGAGCTGTGAAGGCCCCTCACAGTCCTGCCTCCCCACTGGGCGGCCGGAGCGAGCAGCGCCCCAGAGGCCTGGGCCTCGGGTTCCACAACCCCAGAGGCCTCTCTTGCTGAGGGGAAACCAAAGAGGTAAATGAGTCGGACAGACGAGAGCCCCTGTGGCTGCGGTTGGCCTTGGAGCACGGTTGACAGTGCTCGCCTTCCTCCTCTGTTACGCGTCCTAGGTGCTCCCTGTACTCAGAGGCCACCAGGGTGGTTGTGGGACCTGACCTGGTCCCCAGGGGATGGCGATGTCATGTGCTAATTCCAGCAAGCAGTCTCTGTCTCGGGTTAAGTTACTCCGGCCCCCCCAAAACGGCTGCCATCTTGGAGGGGTGTGCTTGGACCACACGGTGGGCGCCCTCAACAGCCTCAGAAACCATCCCTGATTCCTGCCTCAGGACACATAATAATTTGTTCCGGAGAAGGTGAGATGGTGGCTGTCACCTCAGGAAAGAAGCTGGAGGAGGTAAGAAAAAGTGGTGGCTAGACTTTACGTGTTTGAGGGCTGCTATCAGTGGGGAGCCCCTGAAGACGGGTGACCAGGGCAGACTGGCCATTTCAGGAAGAGACGATGCCATTCGAGGTTCAGTCTGATTAAAACAAGGTCGTACGACACAGGATGAAGAACCTGCCTCTGCCTTCTCAGGAATGTGCTTCTTGTACGGGAGGTACAGGCCCCGTGCAGGAAGGAGGAAAAGGCAAGAGAAGAGGAGACCGACACTCACGACTCAGGTCGGGGGGCGGTAATTAGTGATCCTGTCTCGGAAGGGCAACACAGCAGTAAGTTTCCAGATCCTGAAAAATACTTACGCCCTTTGACTGTCACTCCATTTATAGTCTATTTTAAGGAAATCAAAAGTGATGCCCACAGAGATTCATCATAGCTCTTCATGGACTAGCTCTTCGCATATATTGAAGAAATCAAATAATAGGAAAATTGATATGTCGTTTAAGAGCCAT